GAGGGAGGGAGAGAGGGAGAGAGAGAGAAGCAGGTTTTGTTATATACAATTCGATTGAGTCTTACCATAGTTAAGATTGCAGAGGTTTCCAGCATTAAGGAAGAAATGAGTTCGGAAAAGGTCTCCAAACCCTCCCCGGCCTGGCCGGAAAGGGAGAGGGGTGTACAGATGCAAGCCTCCAGCCCAGTAGGCTTCTCCTCCCAGGTAATCACCTATTTAGGGAAAATGTTGGAATAAAAGTCGTTATTGTGGAATATATTAAAATAACAAGAACACATCCTTAAACTGTTTTATATTGCACTGCTACCTCTTTTACAACTCTTGCCACTTGCTTTCGAGCTCTCTCCAACTTCACCACTATCAAGTAAAAAATTAGCACTTACACAATTCTTTAAACCTGCCAAGTGAATTGCCCTTTTCCTTCATTCCCTCACCCCAACAGCCTGAGGTATGCACCTACTTGTCTTTCAGAGACTACCTCCTTAACACCTCTGAAATCCTTGCCTTAGTTTTAAAAATAGGAAATTGATACAATTAAACAATTAGCTTTAAAATATACTGAATAGTGAATCCATTGATAACAGCAAGTCAGCAGCTCAGTAAGGAACAGAACTGAGAAAGTCCCTGGCTCTCCAAACACCTTTGCTGATCAGATTACCTTTCCCCTAAGCTACCTGAACATATGCTGTATCAAACAGATTTAATGTGACTGTTGCTATAACCATCTTTGGGGAACTTTTTCAGGTTGAAGGTTCCTTACTAATTAAAGTGACACGCTGGAAGTATGCCAGTCTGAACACACACTTGGTTTACAAAAATATCTTATGGCTTAACTAAGAACTACTGGGCTTCATTCCATTGTGAACTAATATATAACAACAGACCAAAGACATGACACTTCTCACATTCGAAGTGCAGAATGAGTGCATTTTTAAGCTATTCAACACATAAGGACAGAATCTGATTCTTTGTTACACACTAATATTTACAGTATTGTCAGAGAAGTGGGATTTAGAAGTTTCAGACCTTCACTCTGGGGTCCAATGCTGTACATACTGAATCCACGCACGCTTGTTGGTCCACCAAGGTAAAACCTAGTAAATACAGTCAAATTTCATTTAATGGTTCACTTGAAAGACATATTTGGAAATATCAAGCCATACTTCTAACATTGCTTTTCAGAGTTACAGGTAACTTTGGAACAGGTTTAGTAAAGTGTATTTAAGGAAATACAAGAAATTATGTCTAAATCTAAACCCTGATGCATTTTGCAAAAAATTCAAAATCAATGGAAGTATTAAAAATAAAAATCATTCTTCCATCACTTACAGAGATCAAAACAGAAGGTTCCCCAGCACTGAAGAAGAATCAGAACACTGTCTGATTCTGTCTGTTGTAATAATTTTGACAGAAATACTGTAGTTAAGATCTACCACAGGTGAAGTTGACACTTAGTGTTTATTGTAAATAAACTTAAGTCTCAATGGTTTCTGCTTAGTGATCTTTAAACATGGATGTTAGAGGTCAAAATTGCCTAAAAAGCCAACATAGTTATAATATGGCTTTACTTCTAAAAATACCTACAGTGTTACCTATGCCCAATACAAAATTTTACAAATGGTAAATACCATTTTGCAACCACAAATATTGGAAGGCAGAGCTACTACATAGCAAATTATAAATTTATACTACACCAATAAGAAAATGAAAAACAGAAGGCATGGCTTGAGTACTAACATTCAACTAAAACTAACTAGAAATTTATTTTATTCTCCTCAGAACCAGAACTACTACTGCTTCTCTCTTCTACTATAGGGTTTTCTTTATACATTACCTGGGTTGACTGAAAAAAATTAAGAAACATTTAAAAAACTTGCCTATCAGCTATACTGGATGGCTTGTCTCCAATAGGTACTAGCATTCCACCCCAAAGGGATGCCGAAAAAACCTTGGGAGAGAAAAAGAATTTGTTTATTAATGTGTATTACTTAATTTCCCCCAAAATGGTATTAGTAAAACTTCATCGCTCGGTAAAAGGCAGATCTCCCACTGGTCTGTCAGAAAGTTACAGATGATCACAGTGGGTATCACACCATCAGTAATGGTATTTTCAGGAAACTCTTGATCATTGCTGCCCTCTTTCTTTCATGCAGTGCTACATCTTGAAAAAGTCAATACAGCACATTTGAACCAAGTGCTGCTTTCACAATAGCTAAAAGGGAACACTCATCCAGCTCCTATTTTCTTAAAAATTTTCATGTCTTGAAATAAGACAACACTGCTGACATTAATTACTCCTGGCAATTTTAAATCCATAGGAGGCTAAGTCCAGCAAATAGCTATCAAAAATGTACAGTTATTGCCTGCCTGTACATTAGCCTTACAATTAAATGAAACCACCCTCTGCAGCTCACTATATTGACATCAACTACACACACATCATTACTGCTTATCTAAACAGTAATTCTTGGGAGCCAAACCACTATAATAAATACATTTAGTAATTTGCTTGCTGCTTGTGTACCAAGTAGAAGTACTACTGCCAGATGGTGAGATCTATTGTCAATACCTAGCCTAAAGGTGTTGGGTAATTTCTCTAATTTTACAGCACGCTCCTCCTACCTTCTGCCCTGAGAGTCCCCAAATGCTTCCCCTGCCATTATCAGATGTGAACTCATCATGCGCATATCTGGCTACACAACACATGGCATGTGCAACAGCCAGGTGCACACAAGTCATAAAATTATGTACACCACGTGATAAGATATGTTTCACTTTTGTTCACGGTGTAGACGTATTAGCAGTCATGTGAATGAGCAAAGTCCTCTTTGCGCAGCCATGAAGCCATTAAATTACTTCAACAATTACTTGCAAAAAATTAAAAATAAATGGAAGTATTAAAAATAAAAATCAGTCTTCCGTCCCTTACAGAGGTCAAAACAGAGGGTTCCCCAACACTGAAGAAGAATCAGAACACTGATTCTTTCTCAGCTGAAGGTCAGCAAATAAATGTAAGATGACTAGAATTGCCCTCATCAGGCAATGCCTTTTCTTCCATCACATGGAAGGTGCAAATATAACAATGTAATAAGAAAGGGGTATAGCAGATTGCCTTAAAATGCCCTTCTGTGTTGGCCTCACTGATCTAACTCAAGAACTTCATTGCACTGAGTTGCCTAAAAATAAAAGCACAAAACTGCAGACTAAGAGATCCTAACAGCATCTGCTGATTAGTATCTGCACTCTGGAAGTAGCTTGGATTTTTTCAGTTGTATTGTTGGCATAATGCTAACATTATTCCAGTCTCCTAGAATTTCTTCATTATTCCAATACTTCTTAAAAAGCTTTAGAGAGGCAGAGATGCAAATTATTGTAACCTCAGATTTTTAATTCCTCATAATGGAAATTGCTGTTTAATTCCCCATTCAGCTATGATACAAGAACTTACTGCACCATCTCCATGTGATAAAGAACTACTTTCTAAATACAGACAGAAATATTTTTAGTACATAGTTAAATTTTTATTTCACTAAGCAGAAAAACACCTATTTCCACCTAATACTAGCTCTATACTGTTAAAGATGCCTGAAACTTAAGAGGTCTATATTCTCCTAAGAAGCTGGAGTACATTAAACATGAACTTGAAGCAGAGTTACCCGTGTCATTTCTTCTGAAGGAAATATAGTTGGTATACACAAGAACTGCTCTGCCAACCAAACCTAGACTTCTAAGTGATGACGATATAGGAATTTGCTTCAAAACCACAGTTACTCTAAACCAAAGTACTAATGTAGACACTACACCACAAAATCTGGGACATGCTCTGCCTATAGGGTGGCAAGATTGCGGTCTCATAAACTTGTCACACTAGCATGTCTGTCTTATTGGAACTTAAATTGTTCATTGTGCACAAATATGAAGAAGTTCAAAATGTTGCAGTGCAACCTTAGTGTTGAAGTGAAATCAGCCTTCCCATTCTTGCCCAATAATGTTACATAGAAGAAATAATTACATGCTACGATACCAAAATCAGTAGTCATATATTCACAGTTTACAATGACAAAAGAAAACTAAACCAAGATTAGTCAGAACATTCACAACCAGGTGAAAGAGACAGAACAAAGGCTGTAATAAATTTTTGAAAAATCACTCTTAAGATGACAAAAAACAGACATGTCCAACATTACTTCTGAAAGGAAAACAGTGCATATGATTAACTGTCGAACAAGTTGTTCTTTCCAAAATGCCCACTTCTCAAGTGACTGTACATGGCAGGAACATCAGGTTAAAAATAAAGACTATTTCCCTTTCAAAAAAAAAAACAAATCAAGATAGCTACACCAGCCATCTTTCACTTTCATGATCTTTTCTAATCCATGGTGAAAAATCATCATAAGACACAGATTCAATAACCTCATTTGCTCACTCACACAAATTACTAAAATATCTTTAAAAACATTACCGAATCCCAGATAAGTTGCTTATTCAACTGAAATTCAAAATCCTCTTTTAGAAAGCTCACGTCTCCACCTGTATAGCCAGCCAACTCCTGCAAAGACATAAGTTTATGAAAGTTGTAATGGATATTACATGTTTCTCCCCTCGAAAAGTTAATCATGACTGCATCAGCGTAAGCAGTGTTTTCTGTACAAGAAATACAGATACGCTGGTATGGAGAGACAATTGAATTTTGGACCAATGAAAAACCATGCATGATGCTCAGAACAATAAGCTGCATTTTCCTCCTCCAAATATTAAAACAAGGTATAGCTTTCTACGTCATTTTGTAAATGACAGCAAAATAGAACGGAGCTGGAAAATTCAGCACTCAAAATCAAAACTCTTACTCTATTTACCTAGACCTGAGAAGACTTTGTATATACTAAAACAGGCCTGAAGAAGCAGACAGCCAGTTGCATTACAGACATGCTAGTTGAAAATAACAAGTGAAGTGACTGAATCAGTGTTAAGAGGCAGCATCTAGCAAATGATCTGTTAACTAAACCCTGAATTATAACCACCTTTCTCACTCAGCAACAGAAGAGTTCACTGCTGCTAAAGAACAGTAGCACTTGTAGTTTCAATGGCATTTCAAAGCAATCTAAATCTTCTAAAGCATTGCAGAAGTTAATGCTTCTGAAGTACTAACCTATACAGCAGAAAAGCCAGCTTTTCTAAAAGCTCTGAAAGTAACAAGAGTGAAAACCATTTTCTGTACCAAAATGATACATGTGTATGCTTTTGAGAGCTATATTTACCCGGTCTCTCATTTTTCATTCTAAGACTTACAAACTTTGTAAGCAGCAACAGGACCGCAGTCTGGTAGTCTTACACTACAGTATTAGAAAAAAAGGACTAATACCTACTGTAAAGTGTAAGGTAAATACTGTCAGCAATAATGTACCTCAGCTAATAAAAAATTTAATGCTAATGGTGAGATAAAATGGCTGTGCTGTTTGACCAATGGTATACAAATGAAAATGTGCCACCATAAAAAACGTTTCATGATTTTAAAAGGCATGTAAAGATAAAAAGTAAATACTGGTCATTCCTCTATTCTAGTCAATTTATGCTTAATTTCTAACTTTAGACATTTTAACATGAACATCAATTAGGTAACTTAAGACTTATTCAAACACACTTACAGATAAAATCCAATAATAGCATAAGTGATTTAATACTACCTGATTAATTTTCAGCAAAGCACCTCGTCTTGGCAAGATTGAGGAGTTCCGGGAATCAATTACCATGGCATGCTGAAAAGAATCAAACAATTTTTTAGTTCTAGTTTTAGTTAACAATTTTTAGGTTCTCACATCTTTTGAATACCACAGAGTGACACTATTATTTTCCTTAAAAAACTGTGCAAACAGTGGAAGACAACCACAGCTTCAGCTATGGCTAGTGTAGCTTCATGGATTTGGGAACAATATACCTACAGACTAACTTATTTTTGAGTTTAGAGGCCACATGAAATACATATTTATGTCTTTTGGCCACAGTACACATCAGAAATAACAGCAGCAACAATGTCCCAGTGTAAATTACCGATTTTGTGACAGTAACATGAAAATAGTTTATGTCCTACAATTTGTAAGCTATAAGTTAAAGATGACAAGTGATCAAAAATTATAGGAAATAATATTTAGAAAGGGCACAGCAACTGTAGGATGAGGAAATTCACTGATCCTGTCTTCTACAAAACACGACAATTCTGCAAAATGAGATGGCAGATGACATGGAGGGAGGCCCTGCAGAAGGAACAAGCCAGCCTATGCAACAGTCAAAACACAACAGTCAGCTATGAAAATAGGTTTTCTCTTTGGACTTCCTGATGACTCTGTGTGAATGACCAAACACAGCAAAAGATGTTTGAAGTAAAACACACTACCTACTAAGACAAAAAGCTCCTTTGGTATCATTCATAAGTGTTAGATTACTCAAAACAATGTATTTTTAAAAATTGTCAGGAAAAAGCCTTACAGAAAGAGAAGATTTAAGAGAGTGTCCACTTTCTTCTCGAACAGAAAAGGATGCTGTTCTAGCAAGGCAGCCAAGCTCTCTCCACACACCCTCCCACTTCAGCGTGTGATTGGTCTTCCAGATTGGAAACTATAAATAAAGAATTGAGTAAGAGATGAAAAAAATTTTGAGCTAAAATTTTTTGAGCTAAAACAAACATTTCCCTGAAAAATCTTTCTAAAGTTTATTTGTACATGAGTCTATGCTTTTTCTTTCCAAATCTCTTGGATCAGAGAAAAACTCTTTTTCATTTCAGAGTAATGCTAATTCTGCTCCAGTCAAGAGAGTTTCTCCAAGTGGGTGCACACTACTTAATCCATCTCAAATGAAAAGAATCTTGAATTGCGTTGATACAGTGAGCTAGGCAACCAACTGCCTCCCCGAAATGATACTTTAAACATTAAAAATTTGAAGAAAAACACATTAGTATTTTATACGGACAAAATAAGACTGAATTCTAAGAAAAAGACTAAGATGTATTACACCTGTTGTTTTAAAATTGCTGACCTCTTGCAAATAATGACAAGGTAGCCTGCTGCACAAGTGTTTCAATCATTAAAAAAGTAAAACAAGTATTTGCAAAAGCCAGCTGTGACTTGAATTAAACGTAAATGAAGCATGGGTTCCACAAAAACTTGTGCTACACTTACATTAAATTCTGTTGATATTCCTCTATCTGTTTCACGAAGAGAGCTCCAAGGGAACTGTCCAGTTACTTTATATAGGTTAACTGAAAAACTGAAACACAAAATTACTGCTAGGTTTGAAAGTGAAACTATTTAAGTAGGTGGAGTTTTAAATTATCACAAAAACTTAAGAAACCAGCTCTGCTACATTATCAACAGACCCTGGGGCAAAGGAATAAATTTAATTATTACTCAATGAAAGATCTTATTAATTGTTTTATATTCCTTCATTAAAAAAAGTAGTACTCAAAAATGTTTCCCCTACTTTCTTTCAAAGTTTCCAGGCTGTGGTTTGAAGAATGACAGGCCATATGAAGTCTCCTTTGTTCCGTAGGAGAACTGGAAGGTTACCTTTTCTGCACGTCCAAAGACATTTGGGAACTTGAGCCCAAGTACCTATGGAAAATAAAACAAACAAACAAACAAACATTTCATACAGTTTGCTATCTTGCACCTTAATCATACGCTCAAGACAAGTATATCTACCCTGAGAATGAGAAATGAAGGTATTAAAAAAATAGTTGTAACCAAAATGTATTTTTTCTTGTAAGTTGTTTCTCTTTGCTCTGGCAGCAAAAGTCATCACAAAAGCACAAGGTACAGTTAATCATCCAATTTCTAGTGCTGTCCAGTAGCTGCTGACTTAAACCTGCATTCTCACTGTATTACTAGTACTGCTATTACTTCAAGAAAAATCTCCCACCCAGTCTCAAAGCCTGGGGGAATTAAGTCTTTGGCATCATAAGCCACTGCTCTGCGACTGCAGATTTTCCAGTCAGGTAGGGTTGATTGGAACCACAGCAATAAGCCAATGGAAAATTATCAATACAGAGACAGTCCCTCGTATTTTTGTTTTGAGGAACAAGATGCTTTTGCAATCAGTCCTGACGGCAGTACATCATACCATTAAAATTCTCCAGAAACTACAGTTAAACACTTTTGCCTGTTCTGACAAATTCCTTGTATCCCTTTGGCAGCAAGGATGGAGCAGGTTTACTCCAAGCACAGACATTATGAGGACTGCTCTATTGTTGTGTGTTCTATTTTTAAAGAATGTAAAAAGCTACTAAATCCTGGTTGCCTTTGTCTAACAGTTATTATAAGCAAATCAGGCACCTGAATTTTGTGATGATGGCAACTATGCAATTATCCAACTCACCAGAAACCATGAATCCAACGGGCTATTAGTATAAAATATTAGATCTATAGGCTTCAGATTAATTGAAGGGATTAGAATAAATGTCAAATCTATTTAACGCCTAAGGAATCATAATCTCTGCTGCCAATACCAGCATGTACGAGTCATGCTTTTACATAATTCATGGTTTTACTTCTCTGTAACAAATTAAAATCAAATAGATGGGGAAGCTGATTACAAAAAGAGAAATCAAAGTAGCTTTCTGACTGTTTTCAAATGCACTAGAACCAACAAGTAGGATTCTCCACTGGTTTCATTCAGGCCACAACAGCCTGCAAATTGCTCTCAGCAGTGGAGCTGCATAAGCAGCTCTCAACTTACTGAGTTCCTATTCTCCCTGCACTCGCAAAACACCATGATCACCTGAGTCATGCAGTATCTTATCCAGGTTAAAAATACCACTAAGAATAAAAGGATGAGTCCCTTGATCTGGCTTATCTACCAGCCCCAGGCACAGTTGCACTGTGCACATGAGAAAGCAGAATGAGTGCAGGAATGAGCACCTGAAAGCATCATCTACTTACACCATCTCTTCTGTTAAAAGCACCTCAATAGAACAGTACAGCTGTTACTTTTTGTGTCAATTGGTAAGTATTTTTCACACAAGATTTTAATCATCCTTTAAGCATCCTTAATTGAATCAAATGGAAACAAGTTCCACAGTTTATCTGGTTCTGGGAAATCTTGCATTTTGCAGCCCAGAATAACTGGTACTGGGCTAAAACAGAAATTTTCTTGGTTTTCACTAAGTCAAACGTAAAGCAACTCGACTGAGAGGAAAAGCACTTTAAACAGATCTCATAGAAACTGAATGCCAAACTCTTTACCAATCTCTCCAGTACATAAAGCACCTTAAATATTATCAAGAAATAACTGAAGTCATTTTAAGAATTAAAAAATTAACATACTGAGTTGGAAGATACAGCATTCTTCCCTAGCTCGAAATAGGCTTTTGCTGAATGAAAGCCCGACTAATACCAAGACTCTTTAGAGACAAAGGTCTGGCAAAGCCTTAGTAAAGCTGGATCAAGAAAATAATTTGGCTTGGATCTAGTCCTCATTTATTTAATCACCAAATTCCTTGCTAGGTTTGAAACGCGAAAGTAAGAGGAACATCAAAAGGAATTAATAATTATTTGAAATAATCCATACCATACTGCCTTCATTGTTGCCAACCATAGTGTTATAGCTTCCAGTTAGTCTTCTCAATTCTGTTACCTCAAAGGTTACATCTAAACCATTTGGAAGGGCATCATCTCCTACATAAACAACAAAAAACAAACATATGTTATCTCTAAAGAGCTAGTTAAAAAAACACAGACAGAAAATGACTTGAATTTTTTGAAAACTGGTTGAATTCAATGATAATAGTAGTCTTTCTTTACAAAGAAAAATGGCTTGAGAAAAAGATGATGTTTGGATACGAGTGCAGAATTTGGTTCAATTGTAGCATGACTGGCTTTAATCATCAACATGTTAGTTTAATTATGAAATAGTAACATTTGTTGTTACCTATCCGCTAAAACCAAAGATGTACACAAATTCTTACATGAGAATAAATAGAAATTAAAGTGGTCCAGACATGGCGGGAATGCCATCAATAGGGCAGAGCTCCCTGTGCTCTGGGGGTAAGTGCTGAACAACAGAAACCACCCAGTTCCCTCAGGGCTCTGGCTACAGCAGCTGTTCCAAAACACAGCTGTCAAGGGCACCTAATTCTGCTTGAAGCAAATGGGACAGCATCCCATTGCCAGCAGTCCGTGGGACTGCACTGCATTTCCTTCTCAATAACACAACTTTCCTTTGCTGAAGAGAACGCAACGAGTTAGAAAAGCAACCACAAGCCTGGGAATGCCAGCTGAGCCTTACCGTGAAACCTGCATACATTCAGCTGCCCCATATATATTATAAGCCAATTTTTAACCACAAGTACTGGTAAGATTACCAGTATTTCCTTAAGCACCAAGGATGTGCTGATACAATGTCAGTTATGTGATATATAATACATGGAAGTACAGGACACATTTTCAAGCTTTTCCTCAAGTGTTCCTCTGAAACTTTGGATTAAGGGATGAGTACTGTAATTATTTTAGTGCTGGAAATTCACTCATTTTTGCATGTATACAAGTAATATTTATATACACATAAACATATATACAGACACATGCAAATACATTTTTTTCATAAGGATAATGGATGTAGACACATACGTTCGTATATACAGCACACCTACATGTATATTAAAATATAAAAAGGTATATGAGAGAATAAGTTATATACATAAAAATGTCCAAGCTATTACACAGGGAAATATACATTATAGGTATGCATGGGTCTATGTGTATATGAGGAAAAGGTGAGGATTAATGAGGCAATACATACCTTGACAGGTATCAATCAGAACCTCTACCTGTCTAAAGATCCCTAAACGAAGCAACTTTTCACGAGCTTCATGTGATTTTCTCATCACCTACAGGATGAGATAAGTAGCTCAGTCTTTCAGGTTATCAAAAAATAACTAGGATAAAATAGTTAAAATGCAGTTAAGTCATACAATATTCACAGATTTTGTATACAAAGACACATATATGTGCCTTCACAACAGATCACAAGCACTTTAACACTTGAATCTGTAAAGAAATAAATTAAACTCAGAGCATCCAGCTCAATCCCTACCTTCTGTTAGTTTGTATCCTAATTGTTATAACACTTACACCTATTATTCAAATAGGCTTCAGTACTTAAAACTTATACACCTGTTTACAAGGCCCACGCTTTCCACTAAAAAACACCCTAATCTGTTTAAATTTAGACCAATTTACGTCTAATTGCCAGTCCTACTCCAGAAGTATCACCTAAAAGTGCAAGAACACACTGCCTAACTCATACCTTGATCCATTTTGGAGACTAGCATCGCTTATCTGTGCTGAGATCCAATAGTTTATCTTAAGCAAATTAACTGAAAGTGTCATCTACACAGTTAGCAATTCTCAAATGGGAAGAGTGAAGCTGAAAAAGTATCTGCCAGTACTGTTTGCCATCTCGCAACGTCTTTGAGCTGATTACATCAGAAAACACAGAGCCTTCCAATATTGCATATTTAAGGTTGGCTTCCATATCAAAAGTTTAAAATCATCACAAAACTTGACAAAGCTGCCCCATGTCTGAGGGGAGTAGCTCAAAGAAGGAAAACGAAAATCATAACATGATTTTTTTAAACAGTAGGTCTGATATTCACTACAGTACTTACATCAATGAGGTTTTTAGCCTTGAAAACATCAGAGATTTCATACATGATAATATCATCTTTGGTCCTTCCAAGCCCATCAAAGTGCACATGCTGAACCACCACCTAAACAGAACAGATGTTTAAACACAAATACTGAATTTGCATCTAATAATGAGTATCAAAATCACCAAAGCAGAAAAAAATATTGGTGTCCAAGTGAAAAACCCCAGAGACTTCTAGGCTAATTACTGCTAACCTACATTAATTAGAAATTAGTGTTATCTACAATTCTGGAGAGTTGTTCCCTTAACATGAAAATGAAAGACGAGCTCTAATACCAAAGCTAATACTGATCATAGCAGAAGAGACAGTAACAGACTGTAGCTGCTGCAATTTTAGTCCTAAGTGTTGCATGGACAAATAAGTCACTGCAGAAATCCCACTTAGATATTAAGACACGTAATACAAAACATGTAGTTAGTTACCTATATCTTGTATCAGCTACACATAAGCAAAGAGTTAAAAGAAAAAACAAACCAACCTACAAGCCATAAATATTTAAACTCTATTAAAATTATTACTACCACTGCAGCATTACAGTTTAAAATACTATATGAAAATCACTAGCATTATGAGGTTTCATATTTTCTTAAAACCATTCGTTTTGTTATAAAAGGATCTCAGATACAATTATCTTAAAAATCACAACACACCTCAGGTTAGCCAGTACAAATGGACTACAGCAATTGCATTTCCCCTATTTTTTCCAACTTTTTCAGTGTATTATAATTTTAAGAAGCATTAAAAAAAATCTGCAAATGCTTCATGTATTTGCATATAATAAAATAGCGGTGTAAGAGCAACCTAGCATTACTGCAAATTGCTTAAAAACACCCATCTGAATATATACATAATGAACTAAATAAAACCCAAATGTTCTTACCAAGCTTCTAGTGAGCATGACTTTGAACAGCATTAGGGAAAGGAAATCTTTAATAAAAACTAAGATAACACATGATATCTCATCCCTCCAGCATGGCTAAACATATTATGGGCCAAGACAGACATGCTCTTACATGGGAAGTTTTTTTTTTAAAAAGTTACGATCCTCTGCTGAAGTTATTATTTTCCTTAGTGACATAGTTCACCTGGTGGCAGTTTACCCTAACCTGGCTAATGCTGCTCTCTAGCAGATTAAAGACAGTTGCTTGGTTTGCTTCCAAGCAGTGTTGTGGAAGCCATAACCTCTTATGAGAGAGAGAGGGGAAAGCAGCATCTGGAAACAGGTCTATCAGCTCAAAGGTGAATTTTAATAACTCCTCCTGTGGTAAGGGAAAGTAGAGCAGGAACTAGACAATATCAGCTTAAATTCACAGTACTAAATTTAATTATTTCACATCTCAAACCACAGTTTAGAAAGTTCCCTTAGGAAAAAACAGCAAAGTAAGCAAAGGTGCCAAGACATTTCTCTCAAGAAAAAGATCAGGATGTTGTTTCAGGTACTTACATCTTTGTTTTCAAGAATTTCCTGCTTAGCCTCAGGTTCAACTTCAACCAGTTCAGCTTCCTCTCCCAAGGCACCAAAGTCTGGCCCACCCATTGGAAGAGGCTCCAAACTCTGAAAGCATACAAGAAAATTGCATGTAATATGGTATGCTATTTGTGATTTACACCTTGTGCAAAGGAAGAAAACCCTATTGTTCTTGACACTGTATTCATAAGATCATAAGATCTCCTAAGATCATAAAGCAAAAGAGAACAACTAAAGTGAGGGGAATTACCAGCACACTTGTTACCTACCTGCTTCCTAAAATTCTTAGTGAAAGTTGAATAGCTTCCATGTTGAATGATTTCTCAAAAATGCTCTGCGCTCTTCCAAAAATAACCTTATTTTTAAAGCATGCTTCCTGTGTTAAAGAGGAATTCTACCTTCTTAAAAAAAAATTAAAAATCAGGGTGTCACTACTTATTTTGGGTTTTTGGGAGGGAGAGGTATGTGAATGTTGAGCAACAGAAAAAAAAAAAAGGTGTTTTCAGCATGTTACTTAGCTTTTATATTTTAATATTTCTTTTAAAAGTATCCTTCCAAGTAACGCTCAAGAACCTCAGGCCCTATCCATCAGAGGTGAACATTTTAATCAAAATGGTTTCCAGCACAGCATGGCTTTATTTACTATACCTGAAAGAGTACTAAAATAAGACTTATCAAAAGATAATGGATTCAAGCATGAGTGAATAGAGGGTTACCTGCAAAAGCAGAGGACAGGATTGGATAACTCAGTAAATCGACTTTCAGTCTAAAGTCACTAATACAGTACTTGCTGCATTATTTAAGGATAGTTATTTTGCTGGAAGTAAACTGCTGTTACATATCAGAATCAAGTTAAATGAAGACAGAATCCTCTCTCACTCCCAATAATTTTCAGGCAAGCATAAAACACTCTCTATCCACGCAATATTGTATATCAGTTTATACTGCAGATGGATATAAAAACAAGAACATGAGAAAAAATTTGAAACAGAAATTAAATTAGTCATGGTAATTAGATACTCTGGAGCCTTAACAGACCCCTGCAGCACTACATTCCTCAGTCTAATTAAACACTACGTAAAAGCCTACTAGTTTTCACCAGGCTCACAAGAAAGAGGTACTCTACCTGCGATCTTGAGTAATCACCCAAACCGTTCTTAGTCCCCAAATAGGCCAGTCACTTATTAATCATACCAGAATTATCTACATCAGCTTTAAACACTCCTATGCAGTCTCCCGATGGTGGTTTTAAGAGGAAAGTAGCCAAATTCACAAGGTATTTCACAAAATGGGCTTAAGATTTGCATGGTGATTTCTTTGCTTTACAGTCAGCGGCACCACTGACTTTTTCTACATTACACTGATATCCTTATAGCCTGACTTTCTCATAACCTGTCTCACACGGCTCTTACACTTTTCCATAAATCAGAATACTCAAGAGTGGGCTGCTTATCTAAAATTATCCCGAGCGATGCTTCTCTAATGACACCTTGAGGCATGGAGAATTCAATGCCTTCCTAAAGTACTTCCGAGCCTACATATCCTTATTCTTTGAAATTCTTTTCTGATGTTTAAGACACACTTTTTCTGTTGCCATGATAACCACAACTTCCTTTTGTTGTCCTACCACAACAAAAGTTTAAATCTTTACCTCCCTTCTTTAAACAATGGTGTACAGATTTGGACATTTACGATTCTGTTCAGGAGGATGTCCAAGGCCTTCAGGCACGCAAAACACAACATATCTCTTTAAGCAACGCTGCTGTTTGCTGGGGAAGCACAACCCCACGCATCCTCCACTCCTCACCGTGAAAGCCGTGCGCTTTCTGGTTTGGATTGAGGGGGTTTTTGTGTTTTCATTTACGCAGCCTGGCTCTGGCCAGCCCC